GACCACCCAGGCCCGATGGCTGATGCCGGGCTAGGAGCAGAAGGATGTGTCTTCTGCTCTTCCTACCGTGGTCTGCGTTGCGATGGTGATGGTTGGCGGTGACTCGGGACATGGATGCCAGGGCGGCGACCCCGAATGATGGTTCGTATGGTGGCCTTCTGGCAGGCTCCATGGCGGAAGTGGTGGCTATGCTTCTTGGTTGCCTGGGCAGCGAGGGGTATAGCGGAGGGTGGTTTGGGTGCTCTTTCAGTTGCCCAGATCCGGATCTAGAGGCCAGTGTGCGTCATGACTGTTCAGGGTGCCCCGTGGTGGCACAGGTGAGCTGGAGAGCGACAGCTTCGTGCTTTGGCACCGGCGACAACGACATCTACGGGTGTCGTTATCTTCTTGAAGACGTCGTCGCGGTTCTCCTTTTCGTGTGAGAGTCTCCGGGTGAAAACCCTTGTCCACCTTGGGCTCGGCAGTGGCGGTGCTCGTGTTCCCCTCTTGAGGGCGTTGTCGTGGAGGCTAGGGGTCCTAGTTCGTGTCATGGCGTTGTAAGGTAGTCCTGTGTTAGTTTGTCGGCAGCATAGTCGCGTGCGTTTATGTTGGCCTGTTATCTAGGGACCTGCTGTCTCAGAGGACTACCTCATCACACTGTATCGTTCGGCCGTGTAACTTTGGTGTTATTGCTTTATATATAAAGCAGGGCGAGAGCCTGTTTCGAGAGTATATATTGAGTACAAGATTTGGAAGGCAAGAAGCGAGTTATTTACCCAAAACCAACACACTTGGGGCTAAGGTAACAACTTGGTACCACATTTGAACCGGGGCACAAAAAACCATCGAAAATGCGCCTAATCTGTAACGCGGAGCACTGATAGTTTGATAAGCTTGCGAAAACAGCAAAACTGACAAGTTGGGCCCACATGTCGGGCTGACATGGCGATGACTAAAAGCTTTGACCAGCTGATGTGGCAAATGAGAATTGGGCCCCACCTGTCAGTGACTAGACGGTCATCTTCTTCCCATATCTCTTTCTTTGAGGCATTATGTCGAACATCTTTGGGCACCATTCATTTTCCTCTCGCTGGAGAGAGTGAGCAGCACTAGCTCGTCCGCCTCTCCATGGAGGGTCGGCGGGGTAGATGTTCTCACGCCGGGACAGAAGGAGGCCCACGGACTCCGCCGGCCATGGCGACGATGGCACGAGGTCGCCCGTGGCCAGAGTGAGCTCGCCGTTGACCAACATGAGCACGAAGTACCCTGTCGGCGGCTCCGGCCGGCGCGACGCGAGGCATGCGTGCAAGAGGTCCCATGAGAACGCGACGGAGTGGCCGGACACGCTGGGTCATGGCACCCTGAGAACGGCTCTGGTGGCCGGACGATGCAGCAAGTCCGGCATGAGCAGCTGCTGGTGACTGAGGCGGCCATCCACGGGATGCGGTGGTCGCGTCCTGGTCCTGGCCGGCTACTCCCATCGAAGCAGGCAAAGAGCAACGCCGCCACCGCGTGCCCAGGCAACGAGCAGTGCCCTGCCTTACCGCGCGCCCAGGCCGACGAGTAGTATAGGATTGGCCGCGGACGACGGTGCGTGTAGGCACGATAGCGGTACAAGCTGTGGTGGTCGGTTCATCGTTGTGGCCGGCTAGAGGATGGAAGCTCGTGGCCGACGCCATGGCAGAGGCGCTCTGGCCTGCGGGGGTGCCCACAAGATGTTTGTTGAAATGCCCATGAAAAAAGGAGGAAGAACTAAAAAAGGAAAAAAAACAAATACTTGAGTCATTGACAGGTGGGACCTATGTGCAACTCAGCATATTGTCCACATAAGCAGGCCATCTCAGCCCGACATGCGGGCCCAACTTGTCAGTTTCGCTGTTTTCGCGGCCAAATTCCAGCATCAGTGCTTCGCGTTACAGATTAGGCGCATTTTTTTATGGTTTTTTGTGCACTGGTTCAAATGTGGTACCAAGTTGTTTCCCTAACCCAAGTGTGGTGATTTTGGATAAATAACTCGCAAGAAGCCTTTCTTGGAGTAGGAGATGGAATACAAATTCTAAATACCAAATACAAGTAACCCAAATATATCTCTAACGTCAAGCATGATATGGAAGACCATGCTCTCCAAGGACATTTCAATACATTACCATCAACCCTCAATCGGATATAAAATCATGCTGCCGACATACGAAGTTCACAGAATTACGCCACACATCGACATGTGCTACACACTTGCCTGGGCCGTTCACAAGAAATACACTAACCAGCAAGATATACGTACTACTCCTATGTACTTAACCAAATCATCAACCTCCTCAACGTGAACTTGATTCCCATCCCAATAATAGTCTCCGCTACAGTAATACGTACGTGTAACCATTCCAGGTATATTCACGCGGGTTTCACCGATGGCGACGTGAAACCCATCCACATGCATCCGTGGAGCAGATTCACCAAGACGCGAAGCGAGACCAAACGGAAACCCCCATCCGGCGACAAGTGTCCGGGGAGCCCACGAAAGCGAGAACTTGCGCCTCACGAACCCCCCGCCCGGGACACGTCATGGCGCCGCGGTGCGCGGCGATTGGCCCACCAGACGGGCGGTCAGGATCCGACTCACACGTCGCGCCGGGCGCCATCCGGGCCGTCCGTCTCGAGGCGAGCGGATTATATATGTGCCGTGGCCACACGCTCTCTCGTCGGAGTGGTGGTTGCTCCTAGTCGCAGACTTCTTTATTAATCACAATCTGGATCCGGGCACGGGGAGCGATTGACTGATCGACGAGAGCCTGGAGAGCCGGGGGTTTCGCTTCTCGTTGCGTTTGGAGTCTTGCCGGGTCTCGGTTCTCGAGCAGGCAAGAATTTCCTTTTAATTTTGGGTGATTTGTTTTCCTGTGCTAAGATTTTGGATCATCACCCCCCAGTGTTGATCCTGTTGATTTACCGCCTGGATTGGAATTTTTTGGACGGGTTACCTTTAATGGGGCTTCTCCCTTCTCGTCGTCGCGAATCAGTGGACTAGAACAAGAAACCTTCCCAATTGGAGCGGATTTTCTGTGGTCGCCGCGCTTAGTTTCGAAAGGCAGCACCTTTATTTGCTACCACGCTTTGCTGTGGCCGGAAAGTTACCCATTGTGTCTGTTTCAAGAAATAGATTGGGTTTTCTTTTTTTCTGAGGTGTTTGTTTTAACTTGGCAGATCCAGGGAACACCGATTTTCGTTTGATTTTGCCGAAATTTTTGATCTGATCGGAGCGATCCCGGAGCTTCGCAAGGAGCAAGGCATTTTTCAGGGGGGCCATGGCCATGGGGCTCGGCCGATTCACACACTGGCTCTGGCCGGGTAACGCCGCGCGAGTTGGCAACCACGAGCTCCCCGGCATCGCCTTGACGGGCGCCTCCTTCCCCGAGTTCCCCTCCGGGTTCCGTGAGGCGGACGCTATCGCCTTCTCCAGTGCCGCCGCCGGCCGCCGCACGCGGCCGAGGAGGGTCAAGAACCAGCGGCGCAGTCGCGGGGAGCCCAGAATTGACAGGGAGTACGACATGGTCATCGTGCCGTCCGACGGCGGCGGGTGCCTTTCCGGGTCCGAGTCCGACGACTCCGACTGGTCCATCGGCTGGCTGGAGCCGCAGGCGCCGGAGATGCAGACGGACGGTGACCAGGAGACCTCCTTCGCCGTCCTCGTGCCCTGCTATCGCCGCGGCCGCGCCGAGCAGCCTATGATGCCCCAGGGACGGTTCCTTGGCGCTGGCCCTCTCGCCGATGGCGGCCCCTCCGGTGAGTGGTTTGCTGGAAGATCTACCAAGTTCTTGTGTTTACATTTGCGGAGAGAATTGGGAAAAAACATGCCATGTTTGATTTGTTTATTAAAGCATTAAGTCCTGTGTGATATTAAAAATAATCATTTGCTCTTGTTCATAATATACTCCCTTGGTCCGGAAATACTTGTGAATGTATCTAGAACTAAAATACATCTAGATACATTCATTTCAATGACAAGTATTTCCGGACGGAGGGAGTACTAGCAACAGTTCCCTTTGTGAAGTCAATTTTTGACAAGTCTGGCACCTTTTCAGTTATGAGTTATCCATTGATGGTTTGGGAATAAATTCAGCTTGTGTTAAGCTGGCAGAACTCAGCCTATAACAGGATAAGCCGATAAGATTCGTTCTTCGTGTCTCTTGCTGTTGTACTAGCATTTATGGGGCACAACTACTACTGGTCATATGCTATTTTCATGTTTGGAGCTGTTGATTGGTGGGTTTGGTGGCTTGCTCTATACTTTGGGCTTGAAGATATTTGTTTGAGATTCCTATGCTCAACAGTAGATATGCAATACTCCCTCCGTCCGGAAATACTTGTCATCAAAATGAATAAAAGGGGATGTATCTAGATGTATTTTAGTTCTAGATACATCTCTTTTTGTCCATTTTGATGACAAGTATTTTCGAACGGAGGGAGTACTTAATATGGTTGTTTTATCACTAAAACTCTTTACTATTTCACCAGATAACCCTAGAGGCATCGATGTATGATAGAACCCGTTGACTAATTTTTTCTTCAAAATTTGGCAATCTATAACTTACTCTATGAGACCTCTTCAGTTGTTAAACTTATAGCCATATACCACTTGCTTTGGTTGGTTTCTGCCACTTTGTATGCTGTAGTTGAGGTTTGAGCTTGCTGTGTCAAAATGTGCTACTTCGACTTGTGAATTGATTCTATAACTTTCATTCTTCTTTCAGCATCATGTTTTGTATACTTATGTTGATCAAACAAGGCATCAAATATCCCCGCAAGAAAAACAAGGCATCAAACATATTACTTTATTACTGTTATTGGTTGTCTTCTTTAGTCAATTCGCACCAGCACTGTATTTGTTACTATGATAGTATACGGTCTTTGCCGTATAATAGCACTGCAATTGCTTACCATGTTTCTGATTTGCCATTTACTCCAGTCGACTCCTGCAATTTATTGGTTCTAGAGTGCTAGGTGTGATTGGTGTTGAACATGATAAAGCCACTTCATTGCCTGCTTGTGCCATTTTGATTATCTATGATTGTATTGGATTGTGTGGACGGTCTTTCATCGTAATTCATTTATCTTAAAAGAGTTTTAGTTGCTAGCAATGTTTACTCATGTGCATAGTCTTAGTGTTACTCTATTTATTTCATCATTACAGCTTCTGATATTTTTCTGACACTCTTCTTTCCTTTTTCCGCTCCGCAGATGGAAAGAATTTTGTAGAACAGTGGCTTTCTTCCCTCCAGAACTGATATCTGGAATCTCCGTTAGCTATGCTGTATATATTATTGCTCAGTATCATTATCGATGAAGGAAGACATCAAAACCCAAAAAAATGAGAAAATGGAAAAAGAACAAAAAGAGAAGCAGCGGAATTTTGAAGCAGCACTTAACGGGTTTGTCCTTCCGGAGGTTTCAAGGTTAATTGTACTCATTGCAATGCAAAGCAAGGCCAATGCTGAACAAGACCAGCTGCGCTGCGCGTCGTAGAAGATTTATTCCTTCTTATTAACCAACCTACGACGACATTTGTAGATATAATTTTCTATCGCATCGTTCATTTTGTCCCACTTGATTCTGGACCTCAACCCTGCTACTGGCATATGTATATATGGTGTCATTTGCTGTGTATATATAAGCTGCAGATGTGCAGCTCTTCAGTGTGCGTGTGTGTTGATGTAGATTGGAACAGGATTGTTCCTTGTGAAATTCAGATGTATATATAAGCTTTTGTGTTTTTGTGGAACAGGTTCTTGGCTCAAGTTTCTGATCTTTTGTTGTTGTTGAGGAAACCTGTGGGGTTATTTCTGTCGCTGCTGATATTTTTACTCCTTCCGTTTCAAAATAAATGACTCAGCTTTGTAGTACTCCCTCCGTTCAAAAATACTTGTCATCAAAATGGATAAAAAGGGATGTACCTAGAACTAATATACATCTAAATACATCCCCTTCTATTCATTTTTTCGGACGGAGGGAGTACTAACTTTAGTACATACCTGCTCCCGGCACAGTCCGAAGGGAGAAGGTGATTCTGCAATGACCTTGCAAATGTGGTTCCTGAAAGTTCGAGACTGGACTGGAGATTGAAAGTACGGCCTTGCAAATGTGTTTGGACCTATTGATCACTTCTTCTCAACCAAATGGTCAACTTCATTTTTTTTTTGCATGAAAGAAGGCATGCATTCTTTTTAAATGCTGAGAACTTTGCGCTGGCGATTACGGGAAGAATTTGGGACTCGGGACTTCTGTGTGAGGAGATAGAAGTCGAGTTTTTCGGCGCATCACCACATTTTAGAAAAAAAAGAGGAACTGCCAATTCCTTTTTCTTTTGAGATGAACGCCGTTTCTTTATTTCATTTGAATGGGTTCAACGGTAGACAAAGATTTGCAGGAGGTGTAGTAAGCCACACATGATGCCCCACCTCTAAGGACGTAGCCAATCTCACTAAATTGCGAGCCTCCTTATTACACCCACTCCGTTCACGACATACTCCCTCCGTCCCAAAATAACTGTCTCAAGCTTAGTACAACTTTGCACTAGAGACACTTATTTTGAGACGGAGGGAGTATATCACATGCCGAAAAAGAAGTTTTCCGTTCCTTGATATCCTTCATGATCATACAATGGATGCCGGAGTTTGTTGTCGCCTGCAGCTCTCCGATGCCTCTCTGACAGGTGATATCTGAAGTTTCTCTAAGTGCATATCATGGCCAAGCGCTAGTGCTTCTCTACATGCCACACCTCCAAAGTCTCTGGTTCTGTGATGCCCCCAAAATCATCAACGAAGCGCCCTGATCGTCACGACAAACAACGCCGACAGCTCCTCTACTCGATGCTTTTGCTATGGTCGCGTCAACATTTATTTTGCAGAAACCACTCGGTAGCAGAGTCCACCGACCAGCCCCCCTGAAGACTAAACCCTTAGGACAAGTCGGTTTGCGTTCAACATTGATATCCTCCAAGTATCAAATGATGAACAGGTGTGTGGAAAGGGTACTCTGGTATTTCCATTCATGTATAACAGCCGTTGCGCGTACCAGATCGCCCACAAAGTGACAAGGACCTCAATGAACTACTTTTGTGTTGGGGTCTTGCAAAGAGAAAACAACCGCAACTTAGGGTCTGTTGTCTCGTCTTCATAGAGCGGTAAGATAGCATCAGCATCTCTCAAAGACTAGAGACTCTTCGCCATGTTGCACTCAAACAGGGAATGTCTCCATGAGTCAATACCTGCATTGCAGGCCGAACACACAACAGAAGTCGCCATGTGCCTCATCGCTCTTTCTATCCTGGTCGGCGGCGAAACTCATGGTAGCTGCCACGCCAAAGTCCTGAGCTTGGGGGGGTACCTTTACTTGCCAAAGCTTCTTCCAACTCTACTCCTCCTCTATACATGAGTTTTAAAGTTCTCCACTGCGCCATGCCTCCCGTTGCCGTTTTGTCTCCCCAAGCAGTTTATGACACGATCGAACAGAGAACCGGTCTTCTCATAGTGTCAAGCCCAGAAGTCCGGTTGAAAACCATAGATGATGGGAATTTGCTTTATTATTTCAACATCAAAAGGTAGGAAATGTTCGGTCAGCTGGTCATTCTTCCATGTGCGATAGACTAAACAAACTAAATCTGAAACCGTCTTTGGTGTATTTGCTGACATAGGGCATCTCGGTCGTAGTTTGAAATCCCAACACTCGCTCGTGGGCACGGCCCATTTATGTTTTTCCTTCGTTAGTTGTATGTCGTAACACTAAAAAAAGAAACACAACGCGAACCAGGTTTTCACGAGCACGGTTGCTTTTTTGTTTTGTTTGGCCCATTCGTCTTTTCGTTTTTTCCGTTATTTATTTTTCTTTTTTCTTGTTCCTTCTCTTTTTTTCCATTTCCCTTTTTGTATTCTTTTCCTTAAATCGCAAACATTTTTCAACTTCACAACTTTTTCTAAATTCGCAAACTTTTTTAAATTCATGAACATTTTTTGAAGCTGTCACCTTTTTTCAAATTCGTAATTTTCTTTTGAGTTTGTGCACATTTCTTGAATTCGTCAACTTTTGTGAAATTTGTGAACTTAGTTCATTTATTGCAAAAATATTTTTGGAGCCGTATTTTTTTTTAAAAATCCAATTTTTTTCGAATACACACACTTTTTTTGAGTTCATGAATATTTTTTTAATTCAAGAACTTTTTTTGAGTTCATACGCATTCTTAAAAAATTGGTGATTTTTTTGAAGCTACAAACTTTTAAACATTTGTGCACTTTTTTAAACTCACGAACATTTGTTTAGTTTTATTAAATAATTCTTGAACTTTCTCAATAGTCAACTAGTCCAACGGTTGAACCAGGCGAGCGAGTGAGCGTTCTGGGGCGAGCGAGCGCGTGAAGGTATAGCTGGGCTGGCCAACGACACGCCCGCATGAGCAGTAGTTGGAGTTTGCGGCGTGACAAGCGTTGTGTAGAAGCACTCTAAGAAACTACCATCACCACCCCCAAATCGTATTTGGCGCCCTTAGTGCCAGTTATTGGCATTTATGAGAAATGGCACACACCATCCCTCCATCTTGGGCTCGGCCCAATAGATTTTTTATTTACTTCTCGACAGCGCACACATCACAATGGGCAAAGTTGCCTTTTGTTTTTTCCTTAAACATTGCCAGCCGGTTTTGTGAAGCTTCTAGAAGCTTCCAGATAGTTTTGGTGCGATAGGTTTTTTTGATTTTCCATCTGAGTTTTTTTATTTTGTTCTTTATTTCATTTTTTCATTTTTCATTTTCTTTGTTTCACAAAATTTTCCCAGTGTGTGAACTTTTGTCAAATTCATGAAACTATTTAAAATCCATCAAATTTTGCAAATGCATAGACCCAATGAATATTTTCTGAATGCATGAACTTTCTCCAATTTGTGAACGTTTTTCAAATCCATGAAACTTTTCAAATGCACAAATGGTTTTTCAAATCCATGAATGTTCTTCAATTCCAAGAATATTTTTTGAACACATGATACTTTTTACAAAATGCGAAATTTATTCAAATCGATGAACTTTTTTGAAATTGTGAACTGTTTCTGGTTTGTAATTTTTTTCTCAAATTCTGAACTATTTCAAGTTTCATGAACATTTTTTGAATTCCTATTTTTATTTATTTTTTGCATTTTCTTGGAAAGTCAACAACCAGCGACCAATGACCAACTAGTTCATTGCCGAATCGAGCGACCACTAAACAGGGAGAACATGAGTCACGAGCGAGCACTTGCGTTGCTTTTAGGTCAGCCCATAGAGTGGGGGCTCGTGAGCGCTAGTTCCTCTACCTAGCGCTTAAGGCGCTTCCAAGGAGGTCTCCGTCCCCAGAGGAGCTATTGAATGAAAACGCCTTGGTGTGATTGTTCACGTGCCAACTTACAGAGTGCGTTCAGCCCAAGGTTGTCAGAATCACAATTCTATTGTACGATTCTACGACTTTACGATCTAAACTAACCCATTTGATTCTACAACTTTGGTTAATAAAATATATGGTTTTATGATTCTGATAGTTAAGATTCTACGATTTGCCATCCTATCATTGAAGCTCTGATCCGATTTAGAATCACGAGTCAGACAACCTTGGTTCACCCTATCGATTGAACATGCTTTCTAGTGGGCCAAGACATCTTATAACGGCGATCCTGGTGAGGGCATTCCCTCTCAAGTACCAACTGGATGGGCGCGGCTATGTGTCGCTTACTGTGAGGCACACCACTCCCTCGCCTAAAGGGTGAGGTGGTGGGCCAATCTAGGAGGATGTGGCTCATCTGGCTGACATCATTCTAACGCCACTGAAATATTTTTCTTCCTCTTCTATTTATATTCTAAATGCATATAGTTTAGAAACCTAAATTTACTGAAGGAAATATAAAACTAGAATTTGGAAAAAATATTAACCTAGTATAAAAAAATTGCTAGCATAGTTTTTAAAAAGGATGATAAATTTTAAAAAACATCCTCGTGGCAATAAAAAAAATTCCGTGTTTAAAAAATTCATGCAAATTTCAAAAAATTGTGTATCAAATGTAAAAAATATATTTGTCCAACATAAATGAAAGAATTTCATGCAATTAAAAATATATACACGACATTTTATTGAAAATACTCCCGTGTTTCCAAAATAAATCATGACATTTTTTTTCATATACTACAATGTAAAAAACAATTGTTTTTTAAGCTGAGAAAAGTAATTTAGAAATTGTACACGGACATTTTAAAGAAGTAATCATGTATTTACCCAAAATGTTCGTAATTTTTTTTGAAAAGGTTTATACAATGCAAACAAATATTGCAAAGTT